AAAAACAAAAAAAAAAAAAAAAAAAAAAAAAAAAGAGTCTCAAAAACAGCAAGATATAATGACACCAGTAACTCCAGCCCCCGTCCCCTTCCTGGGTGGCTGAGGTAAGAGGATCAGGAGTCTGAGTCCAGCCTGACTTACATAGTTATATCTTGTATATAAAACTGTAAGCTACAGTTGCCTGTGCTTTTTTTCAGGGAAGATGGACAGAAGGACTTCACAAGGCCAACAGCTAAGCTACTACACAAACACTGTCTACGGTACTTATAAGAGGCCTTGAGGTCGTTCTGACGAAAAGAATCATTAGTATTTAAACTCAAACTCACTGTGTGTTGTGAGGACGACCCTGAACGTGTCTCCATCTCACCAGCATCCCTGATCTACTGTGTGAGGGAGGGAACCCAGGCCTAGTGCATGTTAGCTAAGCATTCTACCAACTGAACCCCACTCTCATCTCAAGAGTTACTGTTGTCTGAGATGAGCTAGGTCATTTTGTGACCTAGGTTAGCCTTAAATTCCTGGGCTCAAAAGATATCAAACATTGGCCTTCCCAGAATAATTTAATTTTTGGTTCTTTAAAAATTTACTCATGGGCTGGAGAGATGGCTCAGCGGTTAAGAACACTGACTACTCTTCCAGAGGTACTGAGTTCAATTCCCAGCAACCACATGGTGGCTCACAACCATCTGTAATGGGATCCGATGCCCTCTTCTGATGGGTCTGAAGACAGTGACAGTGTACTCACATAATAAATAAATAATAAATAAATAAATAAATCTAAAAGAAAAAAGTAATGTATTAAAAAAAAAAAAAGTACTCATAGAATGGGAGAAGCGATCTTGCCCAGAGAAGAGAACACCATTTGGTTGTTCAAAGCCAAACAGTAAGCCCTGAGAACATGCCATACAGGTAGTACTATATGAACTGAACAGGTCATATTTAGGAATATGTATATATACATATATGCAAGCAATAACAATCAATTAAAAAGGCCATGAATTTGACAGAGAATGCTTTTAATCACTGAGCAACCTTTCCAGCTCAATTTTTGCTTGTTTTTGATACTGGGTATCATGTAGCCCAGGCTGTCCTGAAACTTCATCTTCCTGCCTCCACCTCATGAGTGCTAGGACTACAGGCATATGCCACCACAACTGGCAAAGTAATTGCTTTTGTGGTGACATTCCACAGCTTCTGTCAAAATTCTAAATGCTTTTTTCTTCCCACAGATTTTGTGTAACAGCTTCTGACTTAATGGTCCAGTTAAGGAGCCGTTGGTTGCAGAGAGCTTTCTCTGATAACTGAATGAGACTACAGGTCTTTTTCTTCCTTTCTGTGTATGAGGATAAAACCCAGGGCCTTGCGCTTTTTCAGGCAAGCATTCTACCACCGAACTATAATCCTGTCTCCAAAAGAAGAACCCCAGGCTTCTGGGGGAGAAGGGGTGACAGCCTAAGCAGAGACCGTGAGGAAGGAAGGTTTCAGAGCACATCACCAGTGGCTTGAGAGTTGGAGAATGGGCCTCCTGAGTTCTGTGCCACTATGCTGTCCCCAGGTAAAGCTGTTGGAAAAGGCTGACATATCTCAATCTTCCTTCCTGGGAAGTGGCCGAGAGGGCTCAGCTGGGATGGGATCAGAGTGGAGGAAGAGGGACTTCCAGGAAGGTCTGGAGCCTACACCAGGGATGTAAAATTGCTAGGTGAAGGATAGAGGGAGATCTGAGTAAGGATCCACCAAGGTCTCAGAGGTTTCCAGATGTCTGGACTCTGGACTCAGCACTCCCAAGACAGGAAGAATGGGAATGAGGATTTGGGCCCATGGCTTACCCCTGACTTCCCTTGGAACTCTTCTATGTCCGGTAGCAAGGTGCTGGCAAATTCCTGCTGCCGGCTGCTGTAGACATGCACAAACCGCACTGTGTCTTGAGTATTTGCCAGTGCAAAGGACAGGAAGGCTTCAAAGGGTTTGCTTAGTTTGTTAGCTTCAGCTGTCAGTAAAACCACACAGTATCTGCACACAAATATGAGAGGAGGTCCTTGAATCAGTCCTGAGGCAGGGCCAGGGCTGCCAATGGGTGCTAAGGTTAAGAGACACACTCTGTATGCTCTCCTCGCTCAGGGAGAAGTGGTTGATCTATTTCAGGGTAGAGGTGACCAAACTTTGTTCCGAAGGGACTGCCTCTACCAGGTCCTAAATGAAGCCTGGCATTTATCCACTCACTTTCCCAGACATTTACTGAGCTCTCAGACAACACTCCTACCCTTGTTCTGATGGAGAAGACAGACAGACACACAGACACATATATGTGTATTGACAAGGGCTGTGAGAAGGAGAGGAGGGACAAAAAGAGGCTGGGGTGAGTGCAGGTCAGAAAAACACCACCTGATGTTTATGCAGAGACACATAGTGTTGTAGGAGAGGAAAAGAGGGAGGAGCCACTTAGTCTGACCTGGGTTTGGAGAGACCAATGGCAGACACGTGGAGAACTAAGTCCTGAGCAGGGGTGCATGGGAACAGAGACCCACGGGACATGGCAGTGGCCTGCTCAAGAGTGGCTGTGGTAAGTAGTGAGATTTCAGTTAGATCTTACACTGTATGTGTGGACCAATCCTCTTCCCACCACGTGGAGCTCCCCGAGCAAACCCATGTGGTCAAACTAGACAGCAAGTGCCTGAACTTGCTGAGCCGTCGAGCTTGGCCTCCATTCATCTGCTAGATATGGTGGCTTATGTCTAGAACTTCAGCATGTGGTCTGAGGGTAACCTGCGCTAAGACACCCCACCCCATCACAGGGATTTAACTGGCCCTTGGAAACACAGCCCTTGAGTGAGAGGCAGAGCCTCGAGCTCGTACTTCCTCTGCCGGTGAGACCGCTTCACGGGGCAGAGTTCGTGGAAGAGCCTCTGGCTGGTGAGCCGCGATGCCAGCAGGTACTTGTTTTGGGCGATGAAGTCCTCCATGACCTGCTTCCTCAGCCCCCGAGCCTGGAGAAACACCAACAAGCACTCAGTTTTCACACTGCACACGGGCTTACTCACGCTTATGAAGACTGTGGCTGACCCTGGCTAAAGCAACCTTGCCAGGCAAGAAGTGTGGAAATATTGGTTAACAACTCAGGTGAAGGTCAAGATACAGCCAGGCCATGCTCAGGGGAAAATCAAGAGGTTTCTACTTCAGGACTCTACATACCAATTTATACTAACAGTTTGAGTCAATCATTTTGATTTTACACAAATATATTTCCTCTTTGGGATCTGTACCAAACTAAATAATTCAAAATAAATTCCAGGGCTAGGGAGATGGCTCAGTGGTAGAATGCTGGTCTAACATGCATGAAGCCCTGGATTCAATGACTGTACCTCAAAAGACAAAACAAAACAAAACAAAACAGCCAAACAATGGTAGCTTTTGTTTTTATGAGACAGGGCCTTACTACTTAGCCTGGCTGGTATGGAACGTCTATGTAGACCATGATGACCTCAAATTCACAAACTCACACCTGTCCCTGCCACCAGAGTGCTCTCTGGTGCCACCATGTTCAGCTCTCACTGTCCTTTAGAGACAGGTGTTGTGTAGCCCAGGCTGGAACCCAGCTTGTTATGTAGCTGAGGATGACCCTGGATTTCTGATTTCCTACCTGCCTGGTGCTGAGATTTCAGTCATTTATCACCATATCAAGTTTATGAGGTCCTCATAGTGAACTCAGGACGTTATACACCCTAAGAGAGCGCTGACACTCAGACATCCCAGCCTCTTCCAAACCACTGTTCCTAAGAACAAAAAGGCAGACCACAAAATTGAACCCTGAATGCTTTGTTAACACTTTCCTGCAGTTCAAAGGACAGACATTACATAGGAGACACAAAACTGCCATTAGCCACTGTGTACTTAGCAAATCTTAAAGACAAAACAGATAAATGTCTGACTGCTGAAGTGTTTGCAAAGCTGCTGGATGATACAAAGTCAATATTTGAAAACCAAATGTAGTCCATAAATTAGCAGAGAGTCTGGCAGAAGACGCTGTTTCACAAGTTCAAAGGAGGGTGAGCCGACGGCTAAGGCCCTGGGCCAGTGAGATGGCTCAGTGGATAAGGGTGTTGGCCTACAAGCCTTCCGTCTCAGTTTGATTCTCCAAACCTACAGAGAGGAGGAGCTGACTTCCACAGCGACCTCTACACAAACATGAATGTGTAGATACACACAAGTAAGTATAAATTTTAAAACAGATTATAATTATAAAAAATTTATTTACTTTATGTATATGAGTATACTGTAGCTGTCTTTAGACACACCAGAAGAGGGCATCAGATCCCATTATAGATGGCTGTGAGCCATCATGTGGTTGCTGGGAATTGAACTCAGGACCTCTGGAAGAGCAGTCAGTGCTCTTAACTGCTGAGCCATCTCTCCAGCCCCAAGATTACAATTTTTAAAAACCAACCATTCACTGATGTACTCACAACCTTCCAACCTCTATTTCCTGCCTACCTACCTCTTGGTAGTTGGTCATTTCAAGTGACCAGATGTGATAGTGAACTCACTATGCTAGTTAAGAATGACCTTGAATTTCCTTCTTGCTTCTGCATCCTGAGTGCTAGGATCACAGGCCTGCACTGTGTTGCGCCTCTGTGCCTGCCAGGCCAACGCCTAACAAGTCAGTCCCCCAGACAGCCTCCTAACATCTCCTGAGCCGGCTTTGAATTCTCAATATTGTCAGCCTTCACAGTGCTGAGTGTATAAGCGCTGTCACTGACCAGCCTCTCCCTGTCCTCTGTCCACCTCAGGCCTCTCCACTCGCATTGCTGTAGGCAGCTCTAACTCAGCACGCCTGAGACCAGGCTGTTCTCCTCCTTCCCTGTCAGCCACTTCCCTGTCTGGATCTGCCCCACACAATGCCCTGCCCAACGTCCAATCTCAGACACCCTATTCTTCATGCTGAACATGCCTAGTACAGTGGGTGGAGACTGTCTTTCGTCTTTTCTTCCTTGACTGAACCACTGTAGAGTACCCTAACTATAGATGTCTCAGGCAATACCATATTCACTACACAGCAGCCAGGTAACGAAATGTTTATAAAATAAAGTGTATTATTCTTATTTATAAAAAATTATGTTATGTGTGTGTAGGTATGCATAGGGGAGTGTAGGCAACCACAAGGTTCAGAAAACTGTCAGATCCCCTGGAACTATTGTTGTAAGTGGTTGTGAGCTGCCCAGCATAGGGGCAGGAACTGAAGTCTGGAACTTTGGGTCCTCTGGAAGAGCAGTAATATTTTTAACTGCTGAGCCATCTCTCCAGCCCCCAAATAAAGCACTTAATAAAACTTATTGTAGCCTCACTTAAGAGTCAAGGACTAGTGGTCATGGTGGTGTACACCTTTAATCCCAGCACTCAGGAGGCAGAGGCAGGCAGATCTCTGGGAGTTTCTGGTTAGCCTGGTTTATATAGTGAGTGAGACCTTGTCTAAAAACAAACTCAAACAGTCAACAAATAACTCTTCTCTCAAACCCAGATTCTCCTGCATTGGCCTTCAGAGTATTGGAATTCCAGGTGTGTGCCATCTGAGACAATTAAGAACCCAACAAAATTCAGTGCATCAGTAAGAAGAAACGCCAAGTGAGTTTCCCCTACACTCAGCTCTTTTGTTCAATAAATTCATTCTCATTCCCCCCCCTCTCTCCCTCCCTCTC